TATATATATATATATATATATATATATATATATATATATATATATGTTTGTGTGTGCATAAAAATATAGTTATATACAATTTTAACGTGCTACAAAATTAACATTTTCTGATTTAAAAGCATTACATTATTGCGTTTTATTGCAGTATTGCATTATTTCAAAAATGAAGTTTTCAAACAATGAAGTCAAGCAATATGTCAACACGATTAAGTATTCTCTTAATCAAAAGGCAACAAAAACTATAAATGTGTGTAAACAATTTAACATCTTTTTGTAAATTTGTACTTTCCCTAGCAACATGTGATGATGTAAATTTTCATTTTTGTTTTATGTTAAAACACCAGCAATGTTGGATACTGCATAGTGTCTTATTTTCACAATGGAGACGAATGTTCATGTATTTATGTAAACTGTGAAATTGTTGAATAAAAAAAAGTGAAGTTTTCAAGATATTTATGTTATCGTATTACAGATAAAATGTATATATTTCAATATACATTTCCAGATAGATTATAGATAGATATATTTATTTGAAGCCAGCTATAAATAAAACTTTGTTTCTAAGGAAGTGGTGGGGGAATCCCAGCATTATAAACCGAGCTTTAACTACTGATTAAGACGGCAGTTATTTGAAACCGGTGGGAAATTTAACTTGAAATGCTTCCCATTTGTGATCATATATATATATATATATATATATGTATAAATGTTTCCCAGTCAAAAAGCAATATGTTGAGCAGAAATAAAAAGTTTTCGGTATCAGTTTATTGCGGCTGACTCTCCGATAAACAAGAAAGCTAACAGCCCGGTTAGCATGATTAGCATCTTTTCTGATCCCTACATCCTGCTCGTTTTTATCACAGCTTTGCTAAATCACAACGGGCGACAATTTGACACCTGTGCTCAACTCACAGGGTGTGAGCTCCCAGCACGGTATGTGCCACCGTGTTTTCAACAACAAGCCGACCGAGCTCTTCAGACGCTAGCTGCTACTTCTACCTACCAGCGATAGGATGACGGACAGCAGAGCGAAACCGAGAGCTCCTTTCGTCTCCATCTTCGTCTTTTTCCGCAGAGTTTTTAACTTCAAAATCAGTTCTCTCTGTGGCACATGGTTATTTTTTAATGAAGCCGAATAGCTCGTATACTGACGGCTGTTGTCTCTGTCGCTGGTAACTTCCTGTATTGGCTCGTGTCACGTGAAACCCACACAGAGCGTTCTAGTTTCTGTTCCTCCAATAGACGCCCACCAGGTTCTTCTTCTTCATCTTTTGAAGGTTTATGGCGGTTGGCAAACAGAAAGCGCATTACCGCCACCAACTGATTAGGAATTAAACAAGGAAAAAGGAAACAAGACTCACCCCTAGAAAACATAAACAAATAAAATAAAAAAGTATATTTTTCCGAACTGTTTAACTTAACCCAACATAATAAATACTTAATTACATTCGTTTTTATTATTTCTAATTTATTTGTTGTTAAATATACGTTCTGTGTATGCACCCTGAAGCTCTATCCCTCCGGTTCTTTTCCTGAAAAGAGATCACTCAGGAAAAAATCTTTAATTAACATTTCATAGCTTATATGTATTAAATAACCAGGAGACATGACAACAGATTCTGATAGAAATTGTCATCATACTCAGATCAGATAAATTGCTTAGAATATACAGAAGGCGGCTGCTCACCTCTCAGGAAGTGGCCCCGATTAACAGTTAAAAAGGCATTTTATACATCTCCAGTCTGCCACATATATCATATTTTACATCATACATGTTAGCGGATGAGGAGACCTGTATGGCCTTTTTAAAATATTACACTTCGTTCTTAGCTGAAGGACACCGCTCTCATTCCATTCCCAAATCTTTGCCTTATACAGAATGAAGATTATAATTGTATATCCAGACAGAGAAACTGTCCTAATCAGTTCAGACACGCAACAGGCAGCCAATACCAAGGTGTAATAAACTCACACATCTTTATAGTTATAGTCACTCTGCCAGTTTCTGATGGTCCTACTGGTTTTCTCATCATGCTTGCAACCGTTTCCCAGTTTAAATCTCTAACTTCAAGATACTTTTCTGCAGCTTTCCCTGTTATTTAGATTTTTTCGGTTTTCCTTGTCATCTGAGCTCTACAATTGATCACTTCAACCATTTCATCCATTTCTTGTTCTTTTTAACCATTTCACTTCTTTTACTTTTGCACCACTTATGTTTTCTACACCTACCATATATTATAGACACTCATATTTTAGGCTCACTAAACTGGAAAGTCATTTTTTCCTGCAGTCTTTTACTCTTTTATTCTATTTTTCAATAGCACAAAAATGTAGTGTTAAATCTAGATTATAAGCGGGAAAACACCCAAAGAAATTACAAAGTGAGAAAACATTACAGGGATTCCGATTTATTTTTTATAAAATCTAACAATTGTGTCAAGCATTTGTTGTCCCCTCTTTTACTCTGATATATGGGCGATTCTAGGTTTAGGGATGTTTAGGGATGCTGAGCTCCCAGAGAGGTATCTGACCAGGGATTTCTACAATTTCAAAATTTTTTAAAACTTTCTCAGTACGTTTTACCAATTACTAACTCCATCCTAATGCATTGTATCTATATCTGACAAGCAGGGTGGGATTTAGCATTAGGCAGTACTAGGCTCCAGGGACTGGGGGCCCCATAAAACTTTTATTTTCCACAAATCTTTTTTGATATAACCATTAGTTAAAGATTGTGACTTTTTTGTTATTGTGAATAACTGTAACAGAACTGATGCAGAGTTGTTTTTGTATCTTTGGTTTTGCAAACTCTTGTCAACATTATTTTTCGCTTCGGTTAATCTATTAAACTTAAAGCATCTGCAATTAGATACCTTTTTACCAAGGTAGCAGTGTTGGGTTTTACTAATCCAAATAATCCTTTAACCGGACAGAGAACAGAGGAACAGACGGGTCCCCGCTCTAAACAGTGGCACATTGAACTCTCTGTCCTCAATTACTTAAAAGCCAGCCTTCTACCTCGTTTAAAATGGAAACAGATGCTAGTGAACCTGATATGTTGGATTTATTGTTTTCACCTGACTGTCTTTCCATGGGAAGCTTTGAATGTAAGGAAAAGATGAAACGGAAGTGCAGCTCTGCTGAAAACAGCCTCCTGTGCAGATGGTGCATTTTTATATTTGCATGCTTTGTTCACTCTGCCTTGAAGATCACTCTGGTCCAACGAGGGGCATGATGTATTTTATTAATTAATTAGAAGAAAAGCAAGAAAAAAAAAAACAAGCATCTGATGAAGATAAAGACTCTAGAACAGCTCCTCAAAATGGGGGCAAACAACAAACACAACATTTACTTTTCTACTCCTGACCTGAGCAGGATATAGTTGGACTAGACTGTGAAAAATCAGACACAGGCTACAGAATAGATCAATTTACATCCATCCATTTTCCGTCATGCTTATCCCAGCTGGGGTCGCGAGGGGTGCTGGTGCCTATCTCCAGCTGTCTAGGGGCGAGAGGCGGGGTACACCCTGGACAGGTCGCCAGTCAATCGCAGGGCAACACAGAGACAAACAGGACAAACAACCCATTCACACACACTCACACCTAAGGACAATTTAAAGAAACCAATTAACCTAGCAGTCATGTTTTTGGATTGTGGGAGGAAGCCGGAGTACCTGGAGGGAACCCACACCTGCACAGAGAGAACATGGAAACTCCACGCAGAAAGAGGAATCAAACTGGAAACCTTCTTGCTTCAATGCAGCAGCACTACCCACTGTTCCACTGAGCAGCCTGATATATTTACATACTATTAAAAAAAATGACAGATTGAAACAGCATAGCAGTGGTTTAATTAGCAGAGTGCATAATAATACAGAAGTAAATTATTAAATTGCAAATGAACGGAAATCAGGAAGCAGTAAAATTATTTGGTTATGAATAAGAGTTGTTCCTTGCTACTGTGGGTCAGAGTCGGCTGATTATTAGAGCGAGAACTTATGGGAAGAACCAGTTTCTCCGTGCTGTATACCGGTACTCCTTAATGGAGGATAGGTTTACCACAAGCATCTTTTCAGTAGTGCTGAATGAATGTTGCAGTCTGCTGTAGAAACTTGAGGGCTTCCACACCTGGCTGATGAGTATGGTGATAAGATGCAAAGTTTTGTGCGTGTGCAGCTTAGGGTTGTTCTGGTAGAACATAGACCAACGTTAGTCTTCTAAAGGACTTCATGACTACAGATGTCAGGGCGACAGACCTGTAGTTATTCAATCCTGAGTTTTTTTGGGACCTGGGATGGTCGAGGGTGTTTGAAGGATCAGCTGATGTTTAAATGACATAATAATAATCAAACTTTGATCACATTTATTTATTGATCACATTGGAGAAATTTACCTCTGCATTTAACCCATTCCCTTGGGGAGCAGTGGGATGCCATCATGGGGCACCCGGGAGCAATCAGGGGCTAAGGGTCTTGAGAGCCAGAGTGGGTGTCTGCGGGAGTGGATTTCAAACTCAAAACCTCAGTGTCATGGTTCAGTTTTGGCCTCCTTTTATTTTCCAGCACCTCCTCCTGTCACACAGCTCAGCCTCCACTCCCTCTGCAATTATTCACACCTGTTAAGCACCAGTTAGTCAATATTCACTCCACCTGCCAGCCTCTCTACAAAAAACCTCCCTTATTTAGCTCATCCCCGCCGGGTCATATTCAGTCACTACTAACCCAACACCTCGTCAATCAGGTTCTGTGCTTCCGTTGCTGCGCTGCTGGATCTTTGCCTTCTGCCCTTGAACTCTCTCGTCTGCACCTGGAGTTTAACAGCAGCTCTCTGTTGTCCTGTGGATTTATTACGACTCTGTTTCTCCAGGAACTCTCAATGATCCCTGTGGATTACTTTAGCTGATGCTCACATCTACATCTCCAATTCTAGTCAGATACAGCCTCTAGTTACCTTCATCCACAACTCATTACTTTCAATAAACCTTCAAGACTAGCTCCGTGTGTGGGGTGTGCATTCTGGGTTCATCAAAGAAAAATCCTGACACTCTTGATTCCAAGCCCTATGCCCTAGGCCACCACTCCCCAAACAACCTCCCCAAACTGTTCTGACAGAACAGTTCAATACAACTGAATCCAATTTACAACAGTAGTACAACTATATTGGTCTATACCAACTAGATTCTCCATAAGGGGGCTTAGCCACAGTGGAACAAATGTTAAAGGCATGGGCAGGGGCGCAACTACATAATCATCTGCACCTTTCTGTTCCACATTCTCCTAATTTTCCCAAAAAAGAACACAATGAGAGATGGTCATCAGAAATTCAAGCCATTATGGTATATAGGTTTTTGCTGCCTCCCTAATGTATTTATTCCTACCTGATGTCCTCACTTGTCTCTTCTATCACTGACCTCATGTCTGTCTCCTTCACCCCTTGTCTGTGGCATTCTCCACTAAGTCATATGGTCAAAAAGCATTATATATTAGTTGTTAAAATTACAGATCTCAATACAGTTTTTAAAAATAATGTTTAAACATTATCGATTGGGATTAAGTAGCTGTTCCCTCACTTCCACCTAAAAGTAGACCAACCTGTTGCTTTCCCCTGTCTGTCCTGATTCTTCCTCTGTCATCTTCTCTTCTTTCTCTCCATCCTCACAGCTGAATTAAATTAATTTTATGTTAATTAGGGTTAAAAAATAAAGCAGTCAAACCACAATAAAAATTAATCTTTAAACTTGAATGATCTTCTTGTTGGATAGCAGTTACTGACTCAGATACATCACAACACCAATGTAGTGATACTGAATAAAACATTTAAACTCAAGTGTCCCCCTGCCAAAAAGGTTGGTAACATGGGTCACCGA